TTCCCTATGCCATGTGGTCCTTTGCTCAGTCCACTCCTCTACACTGGCCAGAGCATCACTGCTTATACCATTCTCAAATCCAATACCATGCTGCCTCCCCCAGAGCTCTGCACTATCCCATCGAATTCCTGCCTAGCATCTCCCAGCTCATCCTATTGCCATACACCTCTGCCTATTCTCCACCCAATGACTTTCCATGTGTTCTGTCTTGAATATGAAACACCGAGAGGGTATATAGTCAGAGCAAAAAGCCATGGTGCTCTGCCTTCCTGCAGACTCCAGATTAGCAGGGAAAACCCACATGAAAATGGATTCTACAGAACATGGATTTCAAGAGGTAAAGGCTGAAGAGTTACAAAGAAGCAAAGAGTAGTCAGCAAGATCTGGGAAACTTGTCCCACGTTTTGAGCAGCAGAGGAAGGGTGAAAGGCTTTGGGGAGGAAGAGGAGACGAGAGTCGGCAGTGTAAGGAAGAAGCAGAGCCCTAAGGAGAATGAAGAGAAGCGAGCAGAGCATGGGGCTAGTGGGCAGAATATGGTAAGGAAGAGCATTTCTGTGATGGGGATGGGGTAGGCGGAACCAGAAGCCACCCTGATGGAGCACAGGTCATGCAAGGCTTTGTAACAACGGTCAAAGACCTTGGCCGTTACCTTCAGACAAAGGGAAGATATTACCAGTTGATAAAGGCCACAGTGAGTTTCCTGTTTTGTCCAAAGAAGGCATTACTGGCAGCAAGGGCAGGAGCAGAGAGCAAGAGCTCAAGAAGGGAAAACGAAACTCAGGGAGCAAAGAGGTCACAGACATGGAGCAGAGAGAACAGGCTTTGGATCCCATGAGGGAAAGCCAGAGAAAAGTTGGTGGTACCCCAATGCAGGTGTGAAGCAGCAGGTAGTAAGCAAGTGTCCATGAACTCCCTACCGCCCAATGCACAAATGCTTGGCAAAGGGTTAGTTGAGGGGCATCATGTTGAGCTGTGGCGCTAGGCAGCCAGGAGTGTCAGGTTGAGACTGACTTCACAGTGGGTGGAGCCTGAAACACAGGTGAGCATTCAGAAGAGAGTTACCCCTCTGCCCCTGTGCAGAGGGGTCCACGCAGTGGGAGTTGTGGGCAGGGAGCCAAGTATACATGAGCTCTGCCAGGCTGCCAAGAGGGAAGGGAATGACGACTGATGGCTGAGCTGTATAAGTGTGAAGGCACTCGCTAGAACATTTGTAAGATGTGGAAGGATGGTTGACTCCAGAATAGAGAAGGAGAAGATGGTGTGTGGGGTTCTAGAGGAGATGGGAGGGATGGGGTGCAAGCTCAGAGCCTATACTGCTGGATGCTAAGCAGGAGGGACCAAGGAAACGGAAATATGGGATGAGGCTGAGGTGGAAAGTCCCTGTTCAGGGAACCTTGGAACACAAGTCACTGGCATCTCTTCTTGCTTTGGGGACTTCTCTGGTACAAGAAGGAAATGCATGGTCCTCAGATTGGCATCCCTTGTGCCAGGCATAGGGCACACATGCCACAGTGTAATACAGAAGAAAGAGCCAACTACAAATGACAGAACCAAACTCGGAGAGCATCCTTGTCCTCCCAGACAGAGTAACATTTGCTTCCAGGGTAACTGGAGAGCCAAGCATCCCACCTTCTTACCCATAGCACCATCTCCTGTAGCCAGCTTGACCCTGAACATCTCCACTCAGTCTGGCTTTTCTTGTACCCTCAGGCTCAATGTCTCCTCTGCCCCCTCTCCTCTGGTCTTGTTGTGAGTCTTCTATTCCCCCAAGTACTCCCTTCCCTTAAGAATCCACTCTTCCTCATGATCATTGACTTGAGCTATCTTCATATGCTGACCATGTTCTTTCAGACCCTCAACTAGTGGGTCACATGTCTAACTTGTGCCATGCTGGCTCAGAACTCACACCTTACAGCAGCATGCAGTGTAGATGAGGGAGAAATGGGAGAGATGGTGCCACTCCACAGAGACAAGAGATCAGGAAGCACACAAGGTATCCCTGGAGGGCCATGGGATCTATACTGTAGAAACAGGAAGGAGGCTCTGCCCCCGCAGCAGAGCCAAGTCTCAGAAGACAATGTGGAACATTCACATCTCCCAAAAACCAAAAAAAAAAAAAAAAAAAAAAAAAAAAATTAAAAAAAAAAAAAAAAAAAAAGCAGGGCATGGTGCTGAAGAAAGGTAAGTGGGGAAACAGGGAGAGACCCCATAGGATCCTGTTACCGGGGAGATGTGAAAGGGGTGACACCTGGCTACCAATCATTCCACAAAGAAACCAGAATGACTACATGTAACTAGGGGCAACTATGGTTTTGAAGATGCTGAACTATAAGCCCACATAGATGCTGGAAGCTGGCTGAGCACTTTCCAAACCAGCAGAGCGAAAGAAAATAAAAATGTGTAACAAAAGATAGCAGGGGGAAAGAGGACAAAAGAAATAAGGCATAATTTTTCTAAAGCTCAAACATGACAATCAAGGGAAAATGTAAATGGGTTTTTGGACCCTCAAAGAGAAAGGATTTTCAATTTGGGTCAAAGGCCTCAAATCCAAACTATATGTTGTCAATTTAAGACAGATTACAAATAAACTTGAAAAACTGCAAAAGCCAAGAGATGGCCCAGAAAAATAGGAAGGCCTCAATTTCCCCGCATTCAGCTCGGAGGCAGCCCACACAGCATGCATCTCAAACATCAGGCAATTTAGTCAGCAGCTGGCAGCCAGAAGCCAGTCTCTCTCAACGCCACCCTGGCTTGCCATACACAGCAATGGGTTCAGTTTGCTTGTGCAGTTGATGAAATAGTTAATTGCAGAAGTTTTCCAAGAGTGTTGAGGGGTTGACCCTCACCCGCACGCCGTTACACTGTGAGAAATGTGCCCAGTACCCAGCCCTCAGGGACATGCCACCTCCAACCAAAACAGGGTAGCTTGAACTCGTTCTCTTTCAGTTATTGGACCACTAGGTAACATTTGGTCCAGAGAAAGGTTTTTAGCAGTCCTTGTAAAATGTTAATCATGTTTTGCTTTTGTTTTAAATAAATGAAAATGGAAATATAAAATATCTGATAACTGGTGAGAACCCTAATCTTGTAAATACATAAAGTAGATGAATATGAAAGTCACTGGGCAGGTTCAAAGCAGCCAATCTTTGACTTAAATTTGAGACAGTCAATTGCGTATTTGAAGAGCAGAAGGGAGAAGCATTATGGGACATATGAGATTGCTTTGGCAGGTCCCCAAAGAGGAAGTCTCCAGTTCAAATAACATGTCGCCTTCATTAGATGCTTCCAGAAGCAATTATATGAAAAAGGTCATCTAACATAGAAATGAAACATCAAAAGAAAACTGCAATTCTGTAATTTCATGTCAGGTTGGTGAAACCTGTTAAAGATGGAGGAGGCAATCCATGACGGGGGCATGGCATCCATGAACATCACGCAAGGAAACATAAGACATCAAAATATGGAGAGTAAAATTATAGGAACAGTTTTCAAAGTTTCTCAGTTATAAGAACATCAACTAGGAAAAAGCAAAAAACTGAAAAGACCAAATGATAGACAGACCTCAAATCCAGACCCAACATCATATTTAACAGAGACTGAGAAATAAAAGATGTTCATTTCATCAATATTGGGTTTTCCTGCCCCAAGTGCTAAGCAATATAATAGAAAAACATTGCAAACTCCCAGAATAAGACTAAAACTCTGGTTATTTATAAAATTCAAACCTTGTCTAAGAAAATCCAAAAGAAACAAATGAAAACTAACAAGATTAAATTTCTTTATATCAAAATCTATGTCCTATAAACAAGTAGTGCATCTTGTTTTAAAGACCCATGAAACATTTACAAAGTTGATTATATTTTGCTTGAAAAGGCATCAACAAGTTTCCCCAAAATAGAATTTGTGTGCACATTCTTTAGCCACAATAAAATATAATCCCATTTGAGCAGAAAGCATGGAGGTCAACATACAACCCAAATAAAGCAGACGTGAGTTTTAAAGGGAAGTCTAATTTTCACATTTCATTCAGATAACCATCAAAGAACAAAAAAATCCTAATTACAAATGTTCGGAATCCCTGAGAAGACTACATATTGAAGCATAGGACATGAAGTCAAAGTTGTAATGAAAGGCAAAGTCATACCATGAAGTATTTCAATCATCAAAGAAGAGCAGCAGTTGGGGATACATAGACAGACTGAACCAGCTTAAGGGAAGTGGAAGGCAGGGACAGGTAAAGATAAAGGCAGGCATCAGTGAACACAGTCACACAAAACGTTGAATTGAGAAAATCAGTCCAAGAACCGACTTTTGAAGAAAAAAGTACAGACATTTCTTCAGATCATATATTAAAGAGATAAAGTATGCATATATGAAATAAAGAGAAGGTGATCTAGCCATAGGAATATAAAAATTCGTTATAATATAACATTACTTGTAACTCTAAGCCAATAAAAAATTTTAAATTTCAGAATGAATTATGTCCTGGGATTAGCAACATCTAAAGGGAATTGAGGCTCACTATGTCAGATACATGATGACATACTTTATCTCTTTATCTTCTCAGTGGCCCTTTTTAGGCTGTCATTTTAACCACTTGACAAAGGAGGAAACTAAGCATAGGAAGGAGACAGTGTTCCCAAGAACTCCATGAGAAAGAATTAAGCTCAATATATCTAAAGGCTTAACTACTGCAATATATCAGAAGAGGCAGGACTTTTAAAGATACAGAAAGTGAAAAGATTCCAGTAAATACACAAGAAACAGAAAGCACTGTGAGAGGTTTCCCAGGGGATTAATGTCAGCAAATTCAAGTTTTCATGGAACTTTTCATTCAAATGCTGTATATATGGTACAGAATATAGAAAAAGATGAAGTGACACCTGGTTCATTTTACAAAGTTATGTTGGCTGGAAGCAGACAACAAACACATTGGAAAAATCCTGAATTAGACACTTGCAGAGCAAATCTTATTAGAAGGACAACATACTACAATCAAGTACACTTAAAAGTTAGGAAACATTATTATAATTCATTGTACTGACAGAGAGAAACAACACAAATATCTCTCAGACATTAAAAAAAGCATTTCATAAAATTCTAAATCCATTTCTGAACCATATATGAACTTGGAATACTGCATGAGAAAAAAAGAAAGAAAGAAAAGTCTAGACTGAAAAATACTTTGTAACTGTACCCAACAATGAAACAGAAGGCAGATTTCTGTTACTAACAATTTGTCTTAGAATTTATAGACAATGCAATAAGATAAGAAAAAGTCATCAACAGGACAACATGGAAGAGATAAACTATAAAGCATATGAGAAACGAGCAGCTCTACTTGGAGATTTAAAATTGCTCAATGAAAAGCTCGTAGAACAAAATAACTCAATGAGACAGGTAGAAACTAGAAATACATAGAAGTCCCAACATACCACTGACAAGGAATTCAAAAATACAAAGGAAAGGGGCCAGGCTCACAACAGAGGCAACACTTAATTCTCTGAAATAATCTTGCTGACAAATTGTGAATATGCCAAATTTGACAAGTAATTCATATATAAACTAAAAACTGCAAAATAGCATGCAGAGTTTTCTTTACTGCTTTGTTGTTGTTTGTTCATTTTGTTTTGTTTGAGATAGGGTTTCCCTCTGTAACCAGTCTGGCCCTGAGTTCATGATCCATTTGGCTCAGTCTCCTAAGTACTGAGATTACAGGCATGCACCACAATGTTCAGCTTTAACAGACAACTTTATAAAATTCCACAGAAAATCTACTGTGTTTTAAACTTCAAAGAATCACTAAAATCCACCTGAAAGAATAAACAAATGAGACTAACAGGAAAAAAATATTAAAAGAGAAAATGAAGAAAGATTATTGCCAGTGAACAATGATTCAATGTAACATTAATACATAAAAATCAAGTCCAGCTGACCTAAAATTTTAATAGGCCAAGAGAAGTAGGGAAAGTCAACACAAGAATCAAAACTGTAGAGGTACATATGGGGGGTTAGAGACATGGCTCAGTGGTTAAGAGCCAGAAGATCCAGGTTTGGTTACCACATGGCGGTTTACAACCACGTCTAGCTTTCTCTCGTTCCAGGCAAACCAATCCCCTCTCTGGTTACCATAGCACTGCACACACATAGTGCACAGACACATGCAGCCAAAACACCCACGCACGTGTTTAAAAATGATATGCAAAGCAGCAAATGTAGAAATTGTATATTTTTCATCATGATTTAATGGGTTAAATATTAAAATATAAAACATGAAGCTACAGAAATTCTAGGAAAAAAAAACTGGATTGACTATTTGTATGAGCTTTATTTGGAAAATACCTTTCTATCCAAAAATAAAATACAAATGAAGAAACTATAAGAGAAAAATGAATGATATATTTCTCAATAACCTAACAATTTTTATCTTAATACTTATTTTAATATCTATGTGGGGAAGGGGAGGGAGGTGTGTGTGTGTGTGTGTGTGTGTGTGTGTGTGTGTGTGTGTGTGTGTGTGTGTGTGTGCTCCCATGTGCAGGTGTAACCAAGGCCAGAAAAGGGTATCAGATTCCCTGAAGCTGGAGGTAGACATGGTTGTAAGCTGCCTAGCATGGGTGCTGGGAACTAAACCCTGGTCCTCTGTAAGAGAAGTTCAAGCTCTTAACTGATGATCTATCTCTCCAGTCCCACAATTTTGAATAAAAGGCTCCATTAACAAAATTAAATGGAAAATGAGAGAAAAGGCGACGGCGGCGGCGGGGGGTGGTGGTGCGGATGAGAGGCAGCATATGACAGAAAATTAAGAAGGCAAATGTGGGGGGGGGAGACTTAGCAATATTATAGAATCAGCCAGAGAGGTCCAATACATAAATGAGGTACTCAGGGGAGGGGGAAAAAAGAGAGAGAAATTGGTTTATAAATTCAAAAGAGTTTTTGGATCAAAAGAGTGAAAATGGGTAAGCATAGATCCAAATCAACACAGAAGCAATGAAATTCTCAAACAATGAGAGAAAACACAAAAATCCCACAAATTCCTGCAAGATTGAAGAATGACAAGTGCTTAAGGCTCCTCAAAATAGGCTAGAAGACAAGGCTTTTGTATCTGTGATACTTTTGGTTGGGTCTCTCTCTCTCGCTCTCTCTCTCTCTCTCTCTCTCTCTCTCTCTCTCTCTTATCCTCAGAGTTTCTAAACTGTTTTCTTTGACATTGTTTTCCCATTTCTAAGTCTATGTATCTTTGAAAACCTGAGGGGGAAAGTCTGTAACTTAGAATTTTATACCCAGCTGCTGAGTTACCAATGTCAAGGTAGACATTTTCCTATTCAAATGTGAAAGGTCTTCAGAAGTTTACTTCCCATGAATCTTTTCTCTTGAAACTCTAGCAAAACAGAAGATTAACCTCCCAAAACAGATAGCATGATATCTATAAAAGCCAAGGACCCATCTAGGGAGGAAAAAAAAAAAAAACAAAGGAACCTATCCCCAGGAGGAGAAGACGGGAAAATGAAGATGGTGGCAGTCTAAAGTTAGCCCACAAGAAGAAAGAAAAGCTGACTCCAAAATGAAATTTCACCATGTTATGCATGTGTCTTAAACAACCCCTGTTTGTATGTATTATCCAGAGCCACACTTAAACCAAGACAAAACTGAACAACAATGGGAAAAGCGCTCTCTCTCTCCCCCTCTCCAGAAAAAGGGAGGAGATGAATACTCAGGACATTGTTCATCTTTGTGGACATATTCACACTCTTAGAGGGGTGTGAACTCTTGTGTATTGATCAAACCAACATTTCAAAATAATCTATTGGGAGGACAGTACAGGGGTGTGTGTGTGCGGGGTGAAGACAAGGGCATATGTAAAAGAGAGCTAAATGCTTGTCTTCAACAATAGAACAATCAGAATGATGCCTAAGCTTAAAAAAAATCACACACACAAAGAAAGAAAATCAAGAAGCAGAAAAACAAGAATGTTACTTAGCGTTATGGATGTAAATGTCAAGAGAATCAGTTAAAGCAGTTACAGGTAACGCATAATATTCGGGTGGAGCCGGGAGGGTGGGAGGGCTGATGCTTCTTTGACAACCTTGTAGAAGGATCTGGCTCTTAAAATGATGTGTATGCATGAGTTTGACAAAAAAACACAAAAACTAAAGGAATAATGAAAAGCGCAAGGAGCCTGAGCTGGCAATTTAGATACAAATACCCCACAAAGAGGGCGGAAAGGTGTTCTGTGCCACTGTGATAAAAGCTGTGGGGATGGAAATGGTGAAATGTCATGTTTTGACAAATCAGCAAAGGTTAAAAACTCTGATAATTCCCAGAGCAGCAGGCACTTTCTCAAACTAATTTTGAAAACATAATGGGCAAAAAGTTTGCAGAGGGTAATTTGGCCATGTGCTCACTCCTCCTGACAGAGCCACTCGCTTATACAAAGAACGGCAAGATACTGGTCAGAACTGTGAAGGGATAGCACATAGAGAAGCCTCCTAACATCCACCACCCAGCTTTGCATCTGTCTGCAGATGGACACACACAGACCAATTATGTCAATTATAGTCACTGGCTAGACCCCTACATGACCATTAAAAAAACCAAAGATGGGAAATTACTGAATGGCATGGGGCAGTGTTTAGGATACATAAGCAGATGAGAAAAAATAGCAATGATGAGCTCAATTAAATACACACACACACACACACACACACACACACACACACACACACACACACTATAGGAATAAACCAAAAACCAAACACTATTAGCCAAAGTTGGCAGTGGTTATCTTTGAGTGGCATGGCTATGAAAATTTTGTCACCTCCCCATATTTTCCATGTTTTTCCAAAGAACAGGAACTTCTACGAAATGAGAAATTTTTTTTTTAAAAAATATCACATGATAAATGTGATTTCTTAGCTTAGTATCTTCTAGAGGAGAGCCACACATGGACCCTGTTTTTTTGTTTCCCCTTGGCAGTCTATAGTTTATAAAATGCAACTGTCTAAAGGCCAGGCTGGCTGGAAACTTGCAATGCTCCAGCCTCAACCTCTCTAGAGCTGGGGTCCCAAGTGCACACCATGACATCTGTCTTGTTTGCATCATTTTAAAAAATATTACAGGTGGGGGGGAACAGAGGTTATCCAAGCCCCAGATTGAGCTGCTAGAAAGGATCCTGGTATCAAGTCATCTGTGATGACCAGAGATGTGGAAATGGGGGCCTTGTCTGGCCATTCTTGCCTTCCACTCAGAGAAGCCACTGCCAGAAGTAGCTAATGCTACTCTTCAAGAGGAGCCAGTGTACCTGGCCTCCCCACAGTCTGTACAGGCATTCCAGCTCACTTGGAAAGCTCATCTTTCAGTGCTTACAATCCAAGCAGCCACCATATAAAATCTGGTCTTGTCCCTGACACACAGCATTGAGAGTAACCAGAAAAAGTAGAGCTTACCCAGCAAGATTGGCACTGCTCCTTTGGCATTTGTCCTCACAGGAAGCTGGATCAGGCAACCAAGCCTCTAAAGGTTCTCTTTCGGGGGACCTTCCAAGACAAAGTGGGCAAGTCACAAAACAAAATCCAGCAGAGCGTATTCCCAAACCTGTCTGCTCAGGAGACCTGGAGGAACTATGCTCCTTCTGAGAAAGGAGACTTCGGGAATAGAGAGTTGGGTCAGGCCCGGGTGCTACCCTCCAGCTGTAGCAAGTAGGAAGACATCATCCAGGATTTTTGACCTTGTATGTAGCTCAAAAGGAAGTGAGGATCAGGGAATAGAGGGATGCTTAGAACACAGCTGGGGGGAGACTTGGTGCAGGAGTGGAAGGAAGGAAGTGAATGGAGATAAAGAACCCAGGCTAGTGGGCAGGACTGGCCAACTATACCCCACACCCAGGGTCAGTCTGCTGACTTATTGCTACCACTGGCATTTACCATCTTTGAACTGAGGCACACATAGAATTATGCTGGTGGGACCTTTATATGGCACTAGTCAATCTTGGTCTATATTGCCTTCATTGAAGGTTTTAAGGATTTAAATGACCATTGAAAGCCCATTTTCCACCCTGTAGTGAGAATACTAACCGTGACTTATGTCTGCAGAGTCCACTGCTTCCTATGTGGTCACTGTCCCATCCACTTGGTGACCACCATGGGTGCTTTTCACAGGCTCTTATTATTTGAGAATTTAGGGCCCAGCAGCTTGCTTGGATCCTGGGAGTACGATAGTTCTGGCCACATCATTCTTGGCCCAAGAGTTGAGCTCCATGGCTCTCATTGCTAGGGAAAAATGGACCAAGGTTAATGACAGTTGGGTACCCACTGAATCTGCCCCCACAGTCAGAGAATGAAGCATATTGGAGCTAATGAGTGCCAATAACCAAGCTTTGGGGTGAGGTGAGCTTAGAGAGCCAGAGTAGGGTACGGGATGGCTCTGATTCTACACAAAAGAAAGAGAAGGGAACCATGCTGCTGGGCTGTAACCTATGTGGGCCATGTCTTTGGAAAAATGCTATTTGGGTTGGGTACTGGCAGGAAGGACTATTCCAGATGCTTCTCTGCATGGCTTTCAGAATGGTCACTAAACTGGGAGTTACCTAAGTTTTGTTATTCCAATGAGCAAATCATAGAACATGTTACAATACAAATAGGATGGAAGCTAGAGAGCAAGGCTCTGAGTAGACACAAAAATGTCTAGAAAGGAGACATACCCCAGATATGAAATCGTTCCTTTTTTTTTTTTTTTTTTTTTTTTTTTTTTTTTTTTAAAGATGTCTGAGATCTGACCTGTGGTTTCAGGCTCAGAGACCATCATAGTTAGGCACATCACTAAATGAAGCCAGGAGCTCAAAAATACTCCATGCAGCAGAGGTGAAGGGACAGCTGATGGAAGGGAGCCCTAGAGCTGGCCGAAGAACTAGCCACAGTCTCCGGCCACTGATGATACTGGAACTATGCTGAGAACGGGCTCTGGTAACAGGAAGGATAACTTCTACACAGTCCTAAAGACGATGGTGGGAGAGCGTGTGAGTTTAAGGGGAAATAAAATATCATCAACTGCATCTGAAATTAAGAGCAAGTATGCAGGGGGACCTCGGAGGATGGGAAGAAGGAAGTATGCACCTAAGTCTAGGCCAGGTGAAACAAACCTTAGCTCCCTCAAAAGCTACAACAGTGAGGGAGAACTCATGTTACCATGGTGTCCCTATTACACATGGGAAAACTGAGGCAGGGCTAGGCAATCACATGGTCAGCTCAATTCTCTGAAGAAGGGAAGCAATGCCTCTCTTTATAAAAGCCAAAGAAAAATGCTGAGTCCTCCTGGGAGCTTGAGAGGCAGGCCAAAAGAGCTGGGCCAAAGAGGTCAGCATGTTTCACTCCATCTGGATATAGAGGTGCAGACACAGGTGGGCCATGAAGACTTTGAAGAGATGGAAAAACACACCCTCTATCTGGGGGAGCTTCTGCCTGCTTCCAGCAGTCTGCCAGGCAGAGCATGCCCACATGGCATGGAGTAGGAGATACACATGACCAACAGTGAAAAGAAACCAACTTGTTTCTTACAGTTGAGTTCTGGGACTTCTCCAAGGATACACAAGGGTACCTCCCTGGGCGAAGAAAGAAAATACCAGGTCTCCTAATCATTCCCTCCTTTGGAAAAGTGAGGCCTTGGGACACAGTTCGCACTGGTCCTACCCCTACACCCCTATAGCCTGGGCCAGAATTCTACACCAATCCATGCCATGCACTCTCTGTGATTTTTTTAGGCCCTTGCTGGCTAGGGGAGGATTGAGGCTTTTGCCAAAAGCTTGAAAGAAGAGCTAGGGAGGGGACCAATCTCTCTCCAGTTCCATCAGAGAAACAGAACTAAACCACAGGGTTTTCAGCCTTGCAAGTCGTCCATGGGCTCAGTGACAGGAGGACTTGTTTTAGCCTTCACTCCCTCTCTTCTTTTGGGAGGGGGGTCACAGAACATACATTCTCCCAAGTCAGACTCAGCTCTGGCCTGTGACCACGGGGTTTCAAATTTTGAAAGAGGTCTTTTGCAAAACATTCGGTTCCAAGCCCTAGTCTGATTGCCTGCATCCTGTCCAAACTTCGTGGGGGAGTGAGATTTATTTAAGCAGGGAATAAAATTCATGCCAGGCAATTTCAAGGATTAGGGTTACACATCTTCTAAAAAGGGACAGGCAAAGGATGAGTGGAGCTGGAGGAGGAAGGCAGGCCCCAGCAGCAGGCAGGGACCATCTGCGCTTGGGGGATACAGGACCTTGAGTCGGACACATACTCTGGACTCAGGATGGGCATACAACTGTGTGTTTTGCCTTCATTGATCTTTACCTTTCCCCAGCAATCTCCATGCTCGAGTTTTACACCAAGTTCGGTCCTGGGCAGCAGAGGTCAGAGGTCATCAAGTTCAAGCACCTCAGCCAGGGATGGCAGGGTCTGCTTGGAGTGGTGCACACCCAAACAGGTCACGCATGGCCAATGTGGTATCTCTGAATATGTGTCAAAGTCAAGGCTAAGTAAGATGACAGAACATGGGTGATACATCTCAGGGCAAGATGAGGGAGAAGTCTCACTGACATTGGCAGTGGCCATGATGGTAGTGGTGGTGATGGTGGTGTTGGTGTAGCATTGTTGCTATGTTGGTGGTGATGGTGGTGGTGGTGGTGGTGGTGGAGGTAGTGGTAGTGATTATGGTAGTGATGATGATCGTGATAGTTATACTGTCGAAGCACTGTTGTTGATAGTGGTAGTCATGGTGGTAGTGGTGGTTGTGTTAATAATGGTAGTGATGGTGTTATTGGAGTTGATGGCATTGTTGATAGTAGTGATAGTTAGGATGGTTGTAGTGGTGGTGGTGATGCTATTGTTGCTGGTAATGGTGATGGTGGTAATAGTAGTGATGGTTTTGATGGTAGTGTTAGTGGTAACAGTGGTGTTATTGGAGGTGGTCATCGTGGTAGGTGGTGATAGTTATGATGATACTGATGATGGCTGTAGTGATGGGGACAATGTTAGTGATGATGGGATGGTTGTGATGATAGTAATGATAGTAGTGGCGATGGCTGTGATGATTGTGATGATGTTGGGGGTAGCGGTGGTGATCGTGGTGGTAGCGATGGTATGGTGGGAATGGTGGCAACAGAGGTTGTAAGAGTGGTAGTGATCATGGTGTTGGTGATGATGGTGGCACCAGCGGTAGTGGTGGTGATAATGGCGGTGATGCAATTCCAAGATAAACTAAAGCTATTTTAAAGTTGTTGAATGTTCTAAGATTGGTTACTTTGCTTACCCAGAAAATTCTGGGCAATAAGGGGAACTTAATTGTGGTGTCTTCTATGTATGTACTACCCTCAAAAGCAAAGCTTTAGACTCTAGCCTGTAGCACTCAGTGCTTGCCAAGGCACAACATTCAGGGGTTACAAACTGCTGCAAACACAGTCTGAGCTCTTCTCATGAGGGTCTAGAGTGTTCTCAGATGGTAAACCATCAAATGAAATGAGTCAGAATTTGAGACTCAGATGTGAACATTAGGAAGGTAGGGATTACCTGAATGGGTCTGAAGTAGGATGGATGGTGTGAACTGCAATCAAATCCTCATGGGTGAACTGTATCCCATACATCACTGAGTCCACTGAGGGCAGATGCGGAACTGGGAATGAGGGCTGGCGTCCGGGGTCAGGAACCACCACGGCAAGAAAGAAAGAACATCTGGAGTCAGGCCTATGGTATTGCTAGACACATACTAGCTCAAAGAGAGGAGGGAGGGAGGAGGAGGGAGGGAGGGAGGGGGGGAGGGAGGGAGGGAGGGGAGAGAAGGAAGGAACCATGGATGCTGGATCTTAGGCAAGTGCCCCATATAGAATAAAAGTGCTGCCAACGTACTTTTTAAATCGTCTGTTCTCTGGTAGAAGGGCATGTTGTGCCTTTTCTCGACAGGCTTGCCTCATCTGCTATCCCTCTTAGAACTTGGTTGACCTCTCCAGTCTTCTAGGCTATGAGGATTTGGGTAACATAAGCATAGCTTTAGATGAACATAACTGAAAGGATCAAATAAATACAGCCAGAACAGTAATTTTTAAATTCTGTAAAATAGCTCTTCCCTCCAATGTATGAAGCCACACACAGGAAAAACATGAAGTACCACTAACTACCCTACAATAAGCCCCTGGGAAAGGTACAATTCCTCAGGAAGGTATCATTGTCCTCCTGTAGCTGGACAGAACAGGAGGCTGACTGTGGGAAGGTGCTTCTCATTAAACCCAAAGTCCCATGATTAGAAGCAAGAGGAATTTGGTTTGCTTGGAAAGGCAAGGCATGCGCCCACTCAGCAGAGGCATAAAAACAAGCCTCAGTTATTTTTGATCTCCTGTTTTGGCAGAGACAAGGGTAGCTTTCGGGAAGACCCAGGGCTTCCATTCCACCATGCCAAGCCAGAGTTACCCAAGGATGGGCCAGTGTCCCGGGCAGTCAGAACTGCCAGTATCCTGTCTCATTATCTGGCACAGGAAGCTGGGCCCTGGCGAGAATCTGGTCTTGCAGGGAGGGATGCCACAGACCATCTGACACATAGCACACTCTTCCAAAGAGCAGCTACCAGGCCATACTGGTTCCACAAAAGCACATGTATTTTTAGTCCTTTGCTCATTCATTCAGCAATAATTTACTGGGCGCCTACCAGGCTCAAGGCTGGGCCGGGGCTATGGATAGAGAGAAGAATTTGACCCAGTTCCCGGCCCTCAAGGCTCTTTAGTTTAGTGCTGACATGTAAACAAACGCCCATGATAGAGAAAGCAGGGAGCTCTGGCTCAAGTATTTACAACTGGTGTGGAGCTGGGCGTGGTCACTCTCCTTGGAACAGTCAGAGAAAGAGTAGCTGCGAGTTCATTCATTGCCTCACGCCCAGACAGCTGACTCATTCATACATCAACTAATTCACTTGTTCAGCCATTCATTCACTACAACTTAACTTATTCTTTAATTACATAGTTGCTGACTAATTTGTGTCCTAATCAATTCTTTTATTCATTAACTATGATATCTTCATTCATCTATCCCTTAGACTTTTTTTTTT